CCATGCGTCTGATGTTGGGGTTAATTATTCTTAGTGATTGCCGCCTCTGAGCTATAGACCCGACCTCTTCTTGTATTGCTACAGTATGAAGATGCGGAAAGGGTCCTTCTACCTCACAACTCGGAGCCACGCCAACTTTTTTTTTTTTCAAAAATACCTCTTTTCCAATGTTTATGCTTGGAAGACCAAATTCTTCTTTGTGCGACCTCCTCCAGATACTTTTGAATTCTTACCCGCCTGGCTAGAGGAAATCCCAGGTCAGCGCAAGAGGTGATAAGTCGTATTTTTGACATATTACTTATCATATATTCTATACTTTTTCGTTGTTAGTTTGAGCTTAATTATTGATTTTAGTTGATTTTACAATTTTGTAGGAAATCTCGAAGTTTGGATTTTTTGACATTGGAGTACGAAGGAAACAAATTTGAGCTAAGGCGTAGGCACACCAGTTTTCTTACGAGAGTTGGAAGAAGGAATGAGCCTTAAGTTGGAAAGAGAATAAAAAGACTTTACAAAGCTTTTTTTTTTTAATTAGAACATTCTTTAGAGACAATGTTCTCTTTATTATTTTACTGCGTATGTTTTTACTAGAATTAAGATTAGACTATTTTATTAAAAACGGATTGAAGACTTTTATCAATGATCTTCTATTTTCTTCTCTTCCCACGGATGCACGTCATACTCTCCTATTTTATCTTCATCTTTTTTTTCTTCTTTTATTTTATTTTTCATGAATAACTGGGAGAAGACTTTCATGTTTATGGATAGCTAATTGTTTTTCAGCCAAAGTATTAATAAACTTGGTTCTTCATGATTTCTGATATCAAATTGAATTTCTATTCCTTACTCTCATGTGGTTTTCCCATTTATCCTGGTGGATTCTTAGGGTTGAAATCAATGACTTCCACTTGCGGTGGTGGAAGATAGATTAGATTATCACCGTCATTCTTAGTGGCATCAGTATCTATGTTTTTTTCCCAGATTGGGTTGTCAATCGAAGCACCAGGTCTACCCTCCAAGTCGATCACCGCTGCGTTGCGCTCGGTAATAACCTCGTAACACTCACGATACCAAGAAAATATGTACCAATGAAAAAATGCACGAGCATTTATCTTTTACTGAGTATTAAATTTGAAACTTTATAGGGTTATGACCGCGTTGCAAAATGCATGAACACACTAAAAAAATAAATAAAAAATACTTTACCTCACCCACATACAATCAGTACGTGTGGTTAACACTAACACGACCAACATCACCACACATTCGAACTCCTAGAATCAACAAGAAACTTAAAAATTCATAAAAAAAAAATTTGAGCAATTGAATCTTTCCATAGACTTGGGCAATAGAATACTCCTTCAATGCATAGCTCATCGTACGGTTTAGAGAACGTGCAATTTCTGGTCACAAGAAATTGAACATAGAGTCTCGGTGTATGTCTGTCTTCTCACGACGCTTCTTAAAAAACACTCGAAAGTAAGCATCTTCTTCTTCACTCTCGGTCCACTCCACGCCACGGGAGCAGATCGCGATCTATTTATTGCGTGATCCTATCCATTTTTTGACAATCGTGCCTAGTGTCTTTTTTTTTTTTTTTT